CGGACCTGCTGGGCTCCGGCGATCCTTCCGCCTCAGCCTTCCGAGTAGCCGGAATTACAGGCATGCGCTACCACGCCCGGCTGATTTTTTTGATTTATTGTAGAGATGAGGTCTCGCTGCCCAGGCGAGTCTCCAACCCGTGGGCTCAGGCAATCCACTCACCTCAGCCTCCTAAAGGCGCGGGATTACAGGCTGAGCCACCGAGCCCGGCCCTTCTATTCTTTATTTGCTAAAAGTTTTTATTTTATTTTTATTTTTTTTTATTTTTTATTTTTTTGAGTTGGAGTCTCACTCTGTCACCCAGACTGGAGTGCAGTGGCCGCTCCCGGCCACCGCAGCCTCGACCTGCTGGGCTCCGGAGATCCTTCTGCCTCAGCCTTCCAAGTAGCTGGAATTACAGGCACGCGCTACCACGCCCGGCTAATTTTTTGATTTATTGTAGAGATGAGGTCTCGCTGCCCAGGCGGGTCTCGAACCCGCGGGCTCAGGCAGTCCACTCACCTTAGCCTCCCAAAGGCACGGGATTACAGGCTGAGCCACCGAGCCTGGCTAAAAGTTTTTTATTATGAGTTGGAATTGGATTTTGTGAAATGTTTCTTCTGCTCTAGCAATACGACCATGTGTTTTTTCTCCTGTCTTCTTTCCCATTAATTTGGTGAATTACATGGATTAATTTTCAAATGGTAAGCAGCCTGCATTCCTGGAGTAAATTGTCCTTGGCCAGACTGTCTTATCTTTTTAAAATATACATCTGAATTTAATTTGCCAATGTGTTGTCTAGGATTTTTGTATTTATTAAAGAGATTGGTCTTAATTCTTTAAGAAAGGAGTTCATTGCCTTACCTTTAAGGAGTGTGGCTCTATCTGTTAAATTCAGCTTTCTAAGACTAGGTCATGCCATTGGCAGGACAGCTCCTGGCAGGTAACTAAGCAAGGCAGTAGTATAAGGGCCTAGTTGTTTCTACCTAACATGGAGTTTCCTTATTAGTCTTGGGCTTATGGAGACTTTGTCAGATCTACATTGTGGTATGACAGCTCCTCCTGCCCAATCTTGCTACCTTGTTTTTTTCTTCATAGGTTTTATTCTCTAGTAATTCTTTTGAATTCTTAAACCTGTCTCAGTGTCTGCTTCTTGAAGC